GTGACGATTAAAAAACACGGAGTGGAGGAGAGGAGCAGGAGGAAGGGGAATGAATCCAACTAATAATTGGCTATGTGCCAACCGTAGTGACACATCCAACGTATCTGTCAATTATTGCTCTCGTGGTTGTTGTTGTTGTTGTTGTTGTTGGTGTTAATAACGTTTGTTTGTCATCGTTGTTGTGCCTTCACCCTTCCGCTGTTGGAGATGCGTTCTCTGCATGGTTCAGCTCCCGCTTGATGCAGAAACGATCGTCCTACTTTCACCTAAAATTTCAATGTGATTTTTTTTTTTTGCCTGTACCACTGTACTTTCCAACTCGGCTTCTCATCCCCTTTTATTAAATTTTTTTTTTAGGACTTCTTTCTGAAGCTTTTTATCTATATACTTCTATCGGTCATTGTTTTCGAACCGTTCGGATCTCCAAGCAGATGGTAAAATAGTGGCCTGATCGGTTGTTTAGAGGTAATAACCACAGTTTTTAGAACTTTGTTGGGTTAGAGACTCCATATACAGTCACTGTCTAAAAATGCGCGGTAACCTCTAAATGATTTGGTTAGACAGTACTAGTTTTTTCGTCCCCATACATTTTGAGGGGTAGGCATAATCAGCGAATTCCATCTTTCAGGTGTTTTGGTTAAAGTTTGGTAGAAGTCAGCTTATTCTTTTGAAGTCAGTCGTGAGCGTCAGAGACTATAACTGTTATTTCAACATTCACGTATGACTTAATGTAGATATTACAACGCAAAAAGGTGTTCCAATCAACCAGGTGCCTATTCATTGACTCATTTTCGTGTCAACTTTGCAGCAGAGATCTAAAATACCAAGGCCTCTCTGAGTTTGCATTTCTTCGGAGTGAATCTTAAACACACTTTATAAAGCATAGGACCAAGTTTCATCGCGTATAGTCTAGCATAAGAATCAGTAATCTAAAGAACTCGTTTGATTATGACACAGTCTTGAGCTTAACAGCACTCTTTGTTGCGAGTAGCTAAAACTCCTAAGTCTCTTTCCTTCAAAAATTTCTCTCTGTAAGCACAATCAAAAGAACACACTGATTTGTATAAATTGGTAGTCTTAAAAATTTGATTTTCTGTGCTAGGTGTTTTATTGTACAACCATTATTTTCCGTTTTTCGGGCTAGAACTTGTCCGTTGAACATGAAATGGTCATTTTTTTGCTTAACCCTTGAAATGTAAAGTGGACAGATTCACTGGTACCGTAATGCTTAAATTCTTTCGTCCAGCAAGAGTATTTTTTGAAGTGTGTGTCCAACTTGTCGCTCTGAAATTTTTTTTCAAATTTACGGCATTAGAAAGGGATGACTGACTATCTTTTCGAAACTTGAACTGCAATATTTGAGCAGATCGATACTTTTTTTATGAGGAACCACAATGACAGAAGTTTGCGGTAAGTAGCGAAATTAGAGATTCGTTGAGTAGATTGAAATGGAAAATAATCAAAGTCAAGTTGAGAAGATGTCATCTACGGATGCGAGAGTAAGATACTTTTTGTTTATTATATATGCTACGTTTCCCTGAAGTCAGTGACCGGCTATTCCTGATAGTGAGCAACTAAGTGGATGTTAGATGTCATTTGAATAGTTCTTATAATTTTCAGCTATTGTTGTGCAGAAAAAAAAAGTTAAATCTGCAAATTATACATGATGTTTTTCCTGTTTTTTTTTTCCCCCTCCCCCCCCCCAAATATTGTATATCAAAATTTTTTTGACAGGTTTTCCCATATGGATAGGGTCGTCGTGGTTCTCGACTTCCTCAAACTTTAATTAATGACAGTATTGGTGATGGGCTGTTTCCGACAACTTTAATTTACGTGCATACCACTGAAACTGCCAAAGACCAGCATCTAGTAAAATGAAGAAGGTGAAGGTGAACAGCAAGTAGTATGAATTTTATTTCACAAATATGAGGTTCGAGAACTATTCATACTAGTCTCATGAGGAATGTTCATCTATAGCGATTGGTCATCAAACAGATAATTTGAAGAGCGAGTAGACGCACTGACTGCGCTGTAACAAATTTGTCACTTGCTGCACGCTCCAACTGTAACCCAAATCCCATAAAAAGACTTAATAATGCCCCCTCAAGGAGTTGTACACGTAAGTTACTCCACCAGTAGAATAAGTGATAACCTGATACCATTACGACAGTTATGATGCTAATGTAGGGACTCGGGATCCACCAAGAAGATGCATTTTCTAATCCATAGAGAAAAATGCGAAAGCACGCACGCGTAACATACGAGTAGTAGGGGTTAAATACGTCGATCACAATACTTGTTGCGCACAGCGGAGTGCGGCTTGCAGAACTGTGCTAGCGCAGCGGCAGTAGGTCGGCTCTCCGACCACGAGGTCGGGGGTTCAGAACCGCGTGATGGCAAATTTACTTGCTACTCTTGATGAAAACATGACGAAATATTACCACTGCGAATGCTGATGGCGCCGATCTTTTCATCACGAAAAAAGTCGCGGTTGGAAACTTGCCTGATAAGAGGAAATACAATCGCAAGAAACGAAGTACAGATAAAATTAAAAAGTGGGGGGAGTTCTACAAAGATCAAAAGAGTTCACACTTCTGAACACGTTTAAAAATGACGGGGACAGAAATCACGCAAGTACAAGGCTTGATGAAAATTCAGTCCCGATCAAAATTTTCTAACCATCCTTTGAATCCTGTGGGCCAAGATGGGTGATCAAGACAACTTTTGACCAAAGCAATATCAACCTGCAAAATCGTAACAAAATTGCAAAAGAAGTAATTGAAATATGGTAAAATAACACTTCACTAAATAAGCAAACCCTTCATGACATTGTTGAACGTAGTTCATTCATGATAGATTACCTCTAGTGAGGTTTTCTTATTTGCCAGCTGCCCTATGCATTGAGCAGGTGCAAGCAATCCGTAATTGCATAGCTGATCGAGGTTTTTGTATAGAATTTCATTATCTACTATGTATAACGGAGGCAGATTTTTTTTCACAAAAAGTTTGTATGCTGAAAATGAAAAATTTACCGATGTCATTATGACCATCATTTCTTCCATTCTGAAACGAGAATGATTTTAAGATTTGAAAATTTGACTGACTCGATACTATTTCTTTGTAGCTCAATTCAGATCCTCGTCTGCACTCTGTCAAATATACGGCACTTGTAAGAAGGCAGAGCTGCCGCAAAGTCAAGCCTAGAAAAAAAATAACAGCAGCTTTTTATCCAATTACAGCTATAAAATACGGGGCAATAAACATTTAAAGATGGCGATTAAGAATTTATACCCGTTATTATAACCTTTAGAGGATCATCATTCGGAACAAAACCTTCTCTAGCTTCGTGGAATATCTTAACACATCGCTCATCGTCCAAAGAGGCCACATCATCTGCATCGAGAAAGCTATAGAATGCAACAATTACCTGTTTTAACAGTCCATAGTTGCATCCTTCCCTACTGTACATTAATTTCAACTCTCGCTGGACATCTTTCAGCTGTGCAAAGGCCTAAAAAACATTATCTATGTAACCATTTCCACTGCATTCAATCAATGTGGCTAACAGTAAAAATTTATAAAAGAACTAACCTCTACAGATTTAACGCTACTGACACTGCCAACGCGAAGGAAATAGTGAAATGCAGCAACAAAATTTGAAAAACTTTTAGGAACTTTACTAAATGAAATAATGTTATTTAGCAACCTTGAACGGACTCGCTTTTCCAGTAGATTCAGGCAATCCTGCAAGCTTCACAACTACTAAAAATTAACGCCATTTATTCTCAAAATTCAAGACGAGACTTCACCATAAAGCAATCGACCAAAATATTTTGAAAGGGATTACGGCTAGAATACAGGTTCACCAATTAATTAAGTTTTTCACTAGTATCAGAAGCAAGACTTACGGTCACAGAAGTCACGCATAATGCAAATATGGGTAAATTTCGTGTTGCATCCAAAATCTTGTAAAGAAAGAATTGGTTGGACCGCAAAATGAATTGATCGAAGTCGTACAGTATAACAAAATTTGGCTGAAACTTTACATTAGTCACTTGACTGCTCCTTTCTCTTCGTAACGTTCACTGATTGAGCTCTCACTCAAATTTTACGAAATATCAACTTTTGCTCCATGTGTAAAATTCAAAAAAGAATACTTCATTTTTGTCTACATTGTCCAAAACACGCGCGGCTACTGCATCGCTTGAATACATTATACCATCAATGTAAGTTATCGCAACACATCTCTCATACCTGCTAGCCACCTAAAATTGTTATCATTTTACCAGTGTTTTTCGAATAACTCTGTTCTTACTCCTGCCTCTATAAAGCTTCTAAAAACCAAATTATCCCAACAGTAGAGTTCCATGGCAAAAGTAATGGGCATCACTAAACTTAAAAAGCGATAGTACTAGTACAAATTCAATTCGCTTACGATAGCCAGAAAGCTGTTAAAAAAGACAAAGACCGCACCTCGTTAATGACAGTTTGCTTTCCAGACATTCTGTGACCTACTACAACAGCAGACCCACCTTCTTTACTAGTACAAAATTCCTTGAAAATGTCATCAATAAATCTGCAATTAAATATATTGAACAATGAGAAAGAAAATGAAAGAGATTTCAGAAAGCTTTTTACACTAACTCCATCTGTGACTCCATTCCATAAATTGCTTTACTCAAACTCTTTGCAGCTTTTGTGAATAAGTTTCGTCCACCCATTCTCCAAGCGACCACCGACTTCTCGTTAACTGTGACAGGGAGATTTCAGCCGATGAAAAAAGCAGAAAAATACGGTCACGAGTGAAGAAAAAACTTCCTTAGGATGTTCTTCTCATGGCAACTTTCACAATTATTCCTTGGGTTTACTCAAAAACACATGTAAAGTACGTGAAGTAAGCTGAAACATCTCTAAAATGACAAGTTTAAAAACTTTAAAAAACGCTGGCTAAGTGAAAAGAAACACAGAAAGTGCAGTAAACCACAAAAGCAACAAATTTTTTCCAGTAAGCCTGAAAGGCACGAAAATAACCAAAGCTCTGAAGCATGAAATTGAACAAAATAGGCAGAAAAATTCATTAACATCACTCTGCCAAAAAATCTCAACTACGGCATAGAAGTAGACAGGAAATCCAGTCAAATAACAACACTTCTTTCATTACACCTACCACTCAAACTACAGTAAGCAACAACTGTTCCAAGATTCAACTTCCCATAACTTAAATAGTTTAGTGCATAGCAAATCATAACAATCACAATCGTCCAAAAACTGGACGACAGACTGTCAGTAGCTGAAATTCTGCCAGTTAAACACAGACATTACCCCATCGTTTATAAGAAATCATAATCGCTCTTAGTGGCTCAGTTTTTCCAATAGGACTCAATAATTTATAACGAATTTCAATAATGCAACTTTGTTGTACCCTGCTACACACAGCACTTCCAGCAGCTTTTCACTTTTGTTTTCCAAGCCCATTTGAAGCTTATCTAACTCATATCGTCATATTTCCAAATTTTTACTACAAACTTTCCCCAAAAGGAATTCAAAAAGAATTCGACATTTAACTTTTGCTGAAGTGGTGGAGTCCTGAAAACCTTGCAAAAAAGTGGCTTTGAAGACCACCTAAGAAAGATACAACTATTGTTAAGAAGATCACTATAAGAGGTTACCAAGGACAAAAAAAGAAAAAAAAAAAATTTCACCAAGATTTCCAATTCCCTAAGGAGTTGGAAATCTCATCTGCAGTGCGATCTAAATAGAAGAAAACTTTCCAGAAAAAAGCACGACATAGGTAAAGGTAAAATTAGAAAATATTTTTTATTACATTAGGTCAAAACACGCTTCTATAAAGTTGAATAATTTAAATCCAAAAAAAAA